TACCCTTAGATCTGTGTAGTCCAGCAGAATGTGTGATGACTGACATGTCCTGCTGTGCTGTCTAATACAGTAGCCACCAGTCACATGTTACTACTGACTACCTGTCATTTTATTTAATTCCGTTTATTAGCTATTATAATATAAATTTGAATAGTCACACGTGGCTAGTGGCTAGGACACTGCAGTTCTGGACCCTGAACAGAGTAGGGGTTGCCCATCACCGGGGTAGGGACAGAAATTCTGAGAAAGCTGCAACCCAAGGCTCAAGTGACAAGTACTTGCCTAACTCTAATACTAGAGCAGGAGCCCCCAAGAAAGTCCTCTGGACCACCTAAGACTGCCAGTGGAGGCACAAAGGCAGAGAGACCTGTCCTGGGGCAAAGGTACACAGGGTCTTCCAGAACCTGATGGTGAGAAAGAATCCCTGGGAAAAACCCTCTGACCCTCCAGCCTCACATAAAGAACAGGGTAACAGCAGCCTACTACTGGAGGAACTTATAGCCTGAGGTAACTACAGCAGCAACAAAACCCTTATCAAGCTCAGACCCTCACTCAAGTTAGTGGTCTGAGAGAAGTGATGTACCTATTTCCAGGCATAAACGGTATTTATTTAGTCTCTATGATTCTTTTACACAGGGTAACAAGCATTCAACCAAAAATTATATGATGCATAAAAATCAAACCCCCAACCCTCTCCATTATCAATAGATAGAATAGTCAATATTCTACAGTATCAGTAATATCCAACAATATTCAACAATATCTACAATATTCAACAATATTTAAAGAAGCCCAGATAGCAGAAATATCAGATAGATAATTTAAAATAATTATAATTAATATGTAAAAGAGGCTAGGCTCAGCCTATAATCCCAACACTTTGGGAGGCCAAGGCGAGTGGATTGCCTGAGGCCGCAGGTTGGAGGCCAGCCTGGACAACTTGGAGAGACCTCGTCTCTACAACAAATAAATAAAAATTAGCTGGACATGGTAGGGCGTGCCTGTAGTTCCAGCTACTTGGAAGGCTGATGAGTAAGGATTGCCTCAGTCCAGGAGGTCGACTCTGGGGTGGCCATGAGTGTGCCACTGCACTCCAGCCTGGGCGACGTAGTAACACTCCAACTCAGAAAAAAAAAAAAAAAAACCATGTCAAAGAATCTGGTGAAAAAGTTGAACCACATGCATGAGCAAGTGGGTAATTTCAACAGAAATATGAAAACTATTTTTAAAAAGTGAATAGAAATGCTACAAATGAAAAACATGATATCAAAGATGAACTTCAATAGGGAGACAGCGTATTATAAGAAAGAACCAGAGAAATTGAAAACTCCTATGTGACTAGAAATTAGAAACTAGACACAAAGAGAAAAACACCAAGATTCAAAACTAAAAAGTAAACAAAACAAAAACAGAACAGTGCACCTAAGAGCTCCGGTACCATATCAAATAATCTAACACATTTAAGCAGTGTCCCATAAGAAGAAGACAGAAAGGACCCAAAGAAATACCTGGAAAAAAAAAATAACCAAGAATTTTCTGAGATTTAAGGTAACAGAGTACAGATCTAAACTGGAAAAATACAAAGAAAAACACATGTAGGCACAACACAACCAACAAGCTAAAACCCCAAAATAAAGAGACTATATTGAATGAAATGGATAAACCACTAGCATTTGCCTCAAGCCCTGAACTATCCATGAAAGGCCAATGACTGGCCTTTTAGCAAAATTTGAATTTTGGAAAAATTATACTCCTCACTTGGGGCTCTTACTATACCATAAGGACAATACCCAGAGAGGCATGGCATGGTGTCTTTTCTCAAAGGTGTTTATGTAGTTTCCACAGAACGTGAATTTGGAGGGGCGCAGGCATGCCCATTTTCTGTAATCTCACCAAAATTTTCTAAATGTGTGACTTAACTGAATTTTACAGTTTTTGTTATTGCTGTTGTTGTTTTGTCCTATTTAAAATCTTTTAAAAATAGGACAAAAAAAATGGCTGGGGATTAGAGCTATCTTAATACTTCATATAATGTGAATATAAAATTGAAAATGAAATGTGTTATGGTTTGAATGTAATGGCATTTTTTTAAATTGAGTCTCACAAAATGTAACTAATACTAGAAAAATATGACTTTGCAGAGGTTGCTCCTCCAGAACACTTAATTTTTTTTTCTTTTGAATTTTGATGATAATCTGGTTGTACTAGTTGATACCCTTAATAGGCTTTTAAAAAGTCAGACTAATATGCAAGGAATATTTGTAATTATTCAATGCTTAGGAAACAGGATTTCAAAACTAAAGCTGTCTGAGTAAAATGTGAGAAAAGCATGAAAAGAGAAAATTTAAAAAGGGTTTGAAGTAAAACCTGAAAGTTCTGTATTTATGAATCCTGTTCCTTTGACAGTGCTCTCTACTAATTGTGTGGGATCCTGCCTAAAACCCTGGGCTTCTATCTGTACACTCTTTGGAGTTCCCTTAGTCAAAGGCTGGAGTAAGTTGTTTTTGTGCAGTTAATGCTAGAAAACTTCTGACAAGGCTCGGTCTACAGCTGAACACGCTGGAGACAGTGTCGAGATCCTTGAGTAAAGGTTCGAAAATTCAAAAGAATACAAAACTTTTAAGTTGGGGGTCATTACTGTAATTTGTTTAGCTTGGAAATATACAATATAAGTATATATGAGTCAGGAATGAGAAAATATTTCATTGGATAAAAGGCAAAAACATGAAGATGGTCTCTGTAGCCAGTCTGCCTAGGTTCAAATTTCAACTCTGTCACTTATTTGCCTGTGCTCCCGTTTCTTATTTTTCAAAAAGACATTATAATAACGGCTACCTCAGAGAGTGGTTGGGAAGCTTAAATGGATTAATAAATGTGAAATGTGAATAATTTATCGTGTAATTAGTGGTCTTTGGGTTCATTTTTATCTTCACTATTTGTATTATTCTCATTAATAACTTTACATTAAAACAAAGTAAAAAATATTAACTGAACTGAAAACATCACACTTTCTTGAGAAACCCAAAAGGTATTTTTTCCTGCAGTGATTTAAAACTCTTCTGTGATATAGTCATGTCTGTCTTTAGCAATTTGATGAAACAATACAATATGTACATGTTAGTTAACATCACTATTTTTTACTAGAAGAAACCAGGCCTCCTTTGCCTGCAGTTTGATTTCTTTTAAATACGTACATTATCAAAACCTTTGTGACTAGTGCTGTCATGTAAAATAACCTCCTAAACTAATCTAAAACTAACGTAAACCTCTTTAATAATACTCCTTGTGAAATAAATATTTTAAATAGTGTACATTTAAGTCATACTAATATAAACAGTAATATTTGTCCAATCTTTGATGGTTTATGACATACTTTTATATTTAGGAAGTCCTCCAATCCCGAGCATTCATATGCATCTGGATATGAATATGATACTATAAACCAGAATAAGAAACCTGCTATGAATTTGCTTTAATGAGTAGAAAAGCTTCCTTTCTTCTCCACATGGACAAGAGTAGAATTTTCTTACCAGGACTTCAGACAGTATCTTTTATGTGCTTCAGAACTTAAGTGGAAGACTGGAATATTATACTGGGAAGAATATTGTTATTATGGGTTTTCTCTAAAGCGTTTATTTTATACCTAAGGTAAAAAGTAAAATCCAGAAGAGGACTAAATTAGAATTGCTCTAACAGGAATTAGGCATGTCTCCAAAAACTGAAAAAATATGTATCATTTATATACAGACTATAAACACTTTTAAAAGATGAATCTGAAAAGGAACTGTGTGAAAGATAATGTAGTGAAAAGATGTATAAAGCAAAATCATGAACAGCTATTTAAAATAATACAATGTTTCTATGTGGGAAGTTCCTGTAAAGTGTCTAATTGTGCCCTAAACTGAATAGTGAGCTAAGAAATGGATCAGGCCAGTGGGTGAGCTGCCAGCATTTGTGAAAGCATGTGAACCAGATGCTTGAGTCCGCAGAGGCCATATATAACAGAATGACAATAGTTCAGTGAGAGGTGTTGACAGCAGAGGGACAAAGGGCACCCTCAGAAAAAGAATGAGACACAGCACCGGGCATGCCCCGTGGAGCACTGAGCTTCACTTCCGTACTTTCCACCTCTCCCATATTTTAAATCATTTGCAACGTCTTTTTTTTTTTTTTGAGTTGGAGTCTCACTCTGACTGGAGTGCAGTGGCCGCTCCCGGCCACTGCAGCCTCGACCCGCTGGGCTCCAGCAATCCTTCCGCCTCAGCCTTCCAAGTAGCCGGAATTACAGGTGCGCGCTACCACACCCGGGTGATTTTTTGATTTATTGTAGAGATGAGGTCTCGCCAAGTTGCCCAGGAGGGTCTCGAACCCACGGGCTCAGGCAATCCACTCACCTCGGCTTCCCAAAACACGGGATTACAGGCTGAGCCACTGAGCCCGGCTATTTGCAATGTCTTTCTTGCAAATATATCTGCTCATAAGTATTACTTATTGACCAATTGCTGACAGACTTGCCTCTATTTAAAAATGTTCCTATCACTGGCAAAGATTCTGCAGGATAAAACCTTTATTTTTGTATTATAGTGGAAGACTGGAATATTTACTGGGAAGGATATTGTTATTATGGGTTTTCTCTAAAGCGTTTATTTTATACCTAAGGTTAAATTAAAATTTATTTATCTGGCAGTTAGTTACTTATAACTCCTGAAAGTTGATTCACAATTCAAAGAAATTTATTTATCCGGCAGTGAGTTACTTATAACTCCTGAAAGTTGATTCACAATTCAAAGAACGAGAACCCTTCTGGGGTTTGGATTTTTGTTTTTCCTTTTTTTGTCACTGTTTTGCCTTTTTAAAAAATTACCCTCAAATGTCCATCATAAATACAAATACATAATTTCAGATGCATCATCTTTATTGTCTCATGTAAAGCTAAATATATTTCTTTTAAAGTCAGTACAAATTTTGTGGTCAGTATCAGCGAGACAATGTAATCTTACCCTGGTATGAGTACGAATGTGCATCTTCAGCCCGTCATTCTTACTGAATCCTTTTCCACAGTAAGGGCATTGGTAGGGACGCTCACCTACAAATAAAGGAAGCCTCTGTGTCAAAAACATGAAAGGAGCTGAGCAAGCCCTGTGCTGTCATCCCTCACTCACGCATGCCCTGCTGCACACACACCACATACCCCATGCTGCTTCAGTGACAGGCTCCAAGAACAGCTGGGGAGACCCAACTACAGACTGTGCAGGACAGAAGTGAACTGTGACATTACCCTCTGTGGAGAGAGCACTGAGCCCAGAACACTTTCACGACTAAAAATTGCCACATATCCCTTTCAATAGTTGAGCCTGCAGTAAATGCAACTGTAAAAATTTGTTTGAAATATTTTATATTAATCAACTTGTTCTGTCACTAGACTACTCATTACAGGGGTCTTTATTTAACGGATCTACTGACACCGTTTTGTTTTGTGTTTCATATAAATGAATCTGTCTCAATTAGGGTTATGAGTTTCAAAAGAATTTTATAAAATCGGTATATGTTAAACAGAATCATTCATAGTTAAAATAAATAATAACAGAAACAAACAGCTGCATTAAACAGTGGGCAAAATACAAGAGACACTTCTCAAAAGAAGACATACAGGCAGCCAACAGACACATGAAAAAGTGCTAAGTCTCACTTATCATCAGAGAAATGCAAATCCAAACCACACTGAGATACCACCTAACCCCAGTAAGAATGGCCATCATTCATAAAACAAACAACAACAGATGCTGGTGAAGATGCGGAGAGAAAGGAACACTTCTACACTACTAGTGGGAGTACAAACTAGTGCGATTTCTGAAAGAACTAGAATTTGACCTTCCATATGACCCAGCAATCTCCGTATTGGGAATGTACCTGGAGAAACTCAAGTCATTCTACCAAAATGATACCTGCACACACGTTTGCTGCAGCTCTATTTACAATAGCAAAAACATGGAACCAACCATGCTGCCCATCAAAGCTAGACTGTATTAAAAAAAATGTGGTACATATACACAATGGATATTATGCAGCCATAAGGAAGGACAAACCTATGGACTTTGCAGCAACTTGAATGGATTTAGAGTCGATCATATTCAGTGATCTATCACAGAAACAAAGAACAGAGTACTATATGCTCTCACTCATAAGTGGACCTTGAACAATTATCATAATACTATAAGAAAGGAATTGGCAGTAGTGGGAAGCTGTCAGGGGAGGCGAGGATGGGATTGGCAGTTGAGGGAAACTGCGGGGGGGGGGGGGAAGTACACCTCATCAACAAGGGTATCTGCATAATGACCATTTGTATACCTAACCCTGAATTGTACCCCACATCTTTAAAATAAAAAATTTAAAAGTTAAATAAATAAATAATTGATCCATACTTTCTGATATAATTCACTACCTCCCACCTAGAGGTTATACTTTAGAAAACAACCAAGTTTGTTTTTTAAAGACAAAGAAGCACACACATACACACCACATAGTGAAATGACAAAAATATGACAAAATTTAATCTCCCAGGGAAATCTGAAAATGCCTTCTTGTCAAAGACAAATTATTTAGGAAGGATAGTAGCTCAAAATCATTAATTAACTTTTTAAAAAAAATTTAACAATGCACTTAGATAGCAGGATGCTAGACCTTGGCTGCATTTAAAAAACAATACAATAACATATTTGCCTTCAGCAAATGTAAAACTTCTGTCTTTTCTTCCATCACAGCCAGGCTTTTTGACTAGTAGTTTGTATGTTCATCCTCTGCTCTCACACTTCATTTGATTCTGACCCTAGCACAATCCAGGATATCATGTGCTTTATCCCAGTGAACTCCCTTTTCGTGTCAACAATGCCCCTTGCTGTTTGATCTAGTGATCACTTTTCATCAAAGCTTCTCCCTGATGCTGATCTATAAAGTAAATAGCCACATTCCTGCATATCAAGGCAGTCTCAGTGGTAGTGGGACCTAGCAGGTTCTCCAGAACTCTGTTTCCAGCAGTAACATCACGTGGAGGCCAAGAGGTGCCCCATTAGAACACCACCTTCCAGCCTCTTCTCAGTGAGAAAAGGCACACAGGACTCTCCCCTTGGGCTGGGCACTGTAGAAGAATGACAATCTCCCCAAAGAGAATGAACTAAAAACAACATGGCAGTACAAACAGGAACAGTCCCTTGAATGGACTATCTAGACTTGCCAACTTCCGTGAGACAAAATCAACCATAGAATGACTGATCTTTTGATAGTCATGACTCTAGAAAGGTATGCCTTTTCCTTGTCAGTAGAACAGAGGTTTAGTAACAGCTAGGAACATATAATCTTGTTTTAACCCAAAATTGATTAAATGTGCTTATCTTAATTTCAGATTTCAGTTGAGCCCAGTCTCCAGGTACCATATGGCCACCAGGTTTCCTCATCTGGATATCTCACAAACAACTCAAACCAAATAAGAAACTTGGTAGCCATCTAAGACACTCCGTTTCAACTCTCTTTTCCCTTCATCCAGTCTCTAAGTCATAATGATTTCATGTCTTTGATATTCCTAGAATTCTTCTCCTTGAGGATGATGACAAAAAAGAATAGTAACAGTAGGTACAGTATCAGCAGTAGCAATAGGAGAACAGCAGTACTAGTAATAATAATAACAGTAGGGACAGTATCAGCAGTAGTAATAGAACAGCCGTACTAGTAATAATAATAACAGTAGGGATGGTATCAGCAGTAGTAATAGGAGAACAGCTGTACTAGCAATAATAGTAACAGTAGGGACAGTATCAGCAGTAGTAATAGGAGAACAGCAGTTAAATAAGTTCCTTAAGCACTTAAACCCTTAACCATGCACTCACATAGAAAAAGGCCTGCAAGAAAACATAGCAAAATGCAATGCTAATGGAGGTAACTATTGCATCACAGAATTCCACTTTTTTTTTTTTTTTTTTTTGAGTTGGAGTCTCACTTTGTCGCTAAGACTGGAGTGCAGTGACCACTCCCAGCCACTGCAGCCTCGACCTGCTGGGTTCCTGTGATCCTTCCACCTCAGCCTTCCAAGTAGCTGGAACTACAGGCGCGTGCTGCCACGCCCAGCTAATTTTTTTGATTTATTGTAGAGATGAGGTCTCGCCAACTTGCCCAGGCGGGTCTTGAACCTGCGGGCTCAGGCAATCCACTCACCTTGGCCTCCCAAAGTGCTGGGATTACAGGCTGTGCCACCGAGCCCAGCCAGAATTCCACTTTTTAATTTCATTCTTTGTAAAATATTACAAAAAAGTTTTTACATTTTCAATGTTTACTTTAGTGACAGCTAAAGTAAAATAGAGTGCTAAAACGTATCCTTCTTTTCTACTGACAAACCAATCAACAAATCAAACACAGATTTTGAATAATTCATGTTAAAAACAGTAAGGTGGTTTATACTTAAAATTATTTCAGGTTTCCTAGTAAGCCTAAGATGATTTAATAAACACAGTTATTCTCTTTGTAGCACATAGCTTAATGTGTTGTTTTACTTTCTAAATACCAATGGAATAGCCAGCAAATAAAAATCAAAGACTTGTAGTCACTAGGCAAACAATCATATGTTAATTAAGCCTACTATAATATACCAAGTTACCATTTTCTTTCATAAGAACCAAAACTGATTAAGTCAGGTAAGAGATATAGTTAAAAATACCAAGAAGTTTTAAAGAAGGGCATATAACAAGTTTATTCTCTATGTTACTTATGTCATAAAATAGAAATTTTGCCTAAAGATAAAAATGAAAAGGCTAACTTCTTTTAAAAGCAGAGTTTGCTCTTCTTTTTTGGAATCTGATTGTTCTAGGTTGGTATACTGCTCATTCTCCTTCTAGTTGTAACTATGGGAAAGTCATTAAACGTCACTGAACCTTTGAGAAGTGTGATAAATTATACCTACTGTATAGGTACGGTGATCATATATCCAGATTTGTTTAAGGTGGTCTCCATTTATGCCTGTTATCCCAGAACAATTATTAATAACTGGTTAATTTTATGTGTCAACTTGACTCAATCAAAGGACACCTGATGGGTGGTGAAATATCATTTTTGGGTCTATGGGGGTGTTTCCAAAAGAGATTAGCATTTGAATCAGTACACTGAGTAAAGAAGATCCTCCCTCATCAGCATAGGTGGGTATCATCCAGTCCATTGAGAGCCCATATAGAACAAAAAGATAGGGGAACAATGAATTTTCTGTTTCTTTCACACTCTCTCTGTAGCCCTCTTTGATCTGAGATGACATTCATCTTCTCCTGCCCTTGGACATGGAAATTCTCTGTGCTCTGGCCTTCAGACTCCAGTACTTAGACCAGTGAACCCCCTTCCCCTCATTCTCAGGCCTTTGGTTTTGGACTAAGAGTTACATCATTTCCTTCCCTGGTAATCAGTACTTCAAACTCTGACTGAATTACACCTCTGGCTTTCCTGGGTCTCTTGCAGAGAGCATATTGTAGCACTTCTCAGCTTCCGTAGTTGTGTGAGCCAATTCTTATAATAAACCTCCTAAAATATACTTACATACAAAGGGGGGCCCCCAAAAAACTGGAATTATACTTTGGAGGGCAGGCCTCTTGTAGCATAGGCTTCCACCATGAGGTAAGTACTCTAGGATCCCACTGGCATCAGTGTATCAGCTGGCATCACTGTGAGGCTGGGTTCAGTTTTCAGTGATTTTGGGGGGAGGGGGTTCATTCAACACTTTGGCTCATTTCATGATGGGTGATTTACAGGAACAACCTGCCCACATCATGCTGCACGTTCAGCAGTTTTTGACCTAAAATGAGATGACCCCCATACCCCACCCTCCTTATTCGCCCGATCTCACCTCGAGTGACTTTTTTTGTTTCCCCAGATGAAAAAAGTCCTCAAAGGAAAATGTTTTGCTGATGTGGAAGAGATGAAACAAAAAATGGCAGAAGCACTAAAAGGCATCAAAATTGACAAGTTAAAAAGTTGTTTTGAGCAGTGGAAAAAGAATCTTGGTAGGTGTATTGCATCAAAAGGAGAGTACTTTGACGGCAACTGAAATTTAAACAT